CAATATGGCATTTTTTTCACTTTAAAATGAGAGAGATATCTTTTGTGGCATGGCGAAGGGGGACGACGACTCGGCGAAAACCCCACATGGCATACGGTGAAGAAGAGACAACAGGCGACACGGCGTTACACCGTGATACACATACGCGCCGTGGCGAACCCACCGTCAGGGGTGAGCTCTCCGGCGGCGGTGCAGGACACTCGCCTGCCCATCGACAGGCGGGGGCATCACCGTCGTCATCCGTCGCGCCGACAAACCTTGGTTTCTGGTCCGCCACTATATACGCGGGAAGTCGGTAACGGGTTTTCGGACTGAGCTTTGGCTTGGCCTTTCTCGCGATTTCCGAATTACGGAGGCCACATATTTCCATGCGTTTTTTTCTTTTTTTCTGATTTCTAGAGATAAAAAAAAAGATTTATGAATGTGTGAGTGTGACCATGGGTATCATATCCTGCATGGGCACTACTAAACCCAAGAGGTCTTGTACCAATCAATGATCACATCACACCACCTGATAGAGAAAGAAAGGAACATTGTGCTGAATCCAACAAGGCTTGCACTGACTGGAATTGGAATTGGAATGGACACCTGGAGCTGCAATCTTTGTGTTATCACACAAGCAACAGTTGAAACAGAATCGGTCCTAACTGAAAGTGCTGTTAGCACATCATCAGGATGAGGCCATGGAGTCAACGTCAGGGAACAAGAAGCACCAGCGACCAAATTGTATACTGTATTGTATTGTGTGCAAGGGGGGCAGAATGGCATCTCCTTCCTCTCAATTATCAGTGGCCTTTTTCTACATTCCTCTTGGGTGCACTACACATCATCACAGTTCACAAATGGAACAAGAACCATTTGTTGGAGTACTGCTCCAAAAACAACAGCTACTCTCTCACTCCTATCTACTAGCAGTTCACATACAATGTTTTCACTATTGTCACCTCACGGTCACTCGGCGCTTTCGTCGTCGGAAAGGTCGTCGTCATCGTCTTCGTCGTCGCTCTGCTGTTGGGCATTCATTCTCTCGTTCTTCTTCCTGGTCTCCTCGCCGATGGCGTTCGCGATGGCGATGGGCAGCAGGAACCCGGGCCGCTCGAGGAACTTGGCCCGGTGGAGGATCATCGCGTCGCGCTGCGTCACGTCGATGCCGTCGAAAGTGTGCACGGCCACGGTGGCGTTGCCTTTCAGGCCCAGCGAGTACCAGCCTAGGCCGGAGGCCGCGATGTCTGTGCTGTTCACGTCCCAGCTGACCCCGGACACGTCGATCCGCCTCTCTGTCCACTGGCCCAGTTCGGCGGCTCGCTCTGCCGCAACTGGTGGCTGCACAATTACAGTGTATCATAAATCAGTATGACGAATATAGGAATGAAAAAAATGTGTGTGTTTTCATGGTTATATTATTGATGATATACTCCAGCTACATATGCACTGACAGCAAAAGCAGGTAGCAGGCCGCGTTGCTCTCTTTAAAATTGAAAAGATAAAGTCCGGCTGCATATGCACTGAACAGGAAAGCGGGTAGCAGGGCTCATTATTCTCTTGAAAATTGACAGCTTTCAGTGTATAATAGGAGTTCAGCCTATAGATTTATATACCATTAGTAGCCTATGACATATGACAACTATAGCAAATTGATGGCAAACACCTGAACGAACCTATGCAGTCCTTTGATTAAAGCAGACGAACAAATTAAACAGCAGTTTGTTTTATTCAAATAGCATAGCACACACAGAATATTCCATAAAAGCAACCTTACTTCCAAGTAATCTTTATGCAGTCCTTCGATTAAACAGAATTTAATTAATTTATCCTTAGGCGCAACATTAAGCAGGTTGGAAGTTGAAGTCTTACCTGAAGTCTGATGCCAACATGCTTGTCCCGCAGTTCGTCAGCATTTTCAGTCTTTCCAAGATGAAGGGAAATATTGGCAGATGCCCAAACAGTTACATAGATAGTCTGGACTGAAGCTTCTAGTAAATCCAGGCGTGTTAACCCTCCAATGTGGACAGATTGTCCAGCCTGCAACAGTTTGCAAATTTTGAGTCAAACTAGCCTCGTGGATTCCAATACAAGATAGAACAATATTGTTGTACTTCAGAGTTAAGGAGCTTAAGAGGTGCTATTAAATCACTTAACCTTTCAAGGGATTAGAGTTGCCCAAGTGTATTCAGTGTATAAGGTCCTTCAAGAGTAGAGCCATAACTAGGAGTGCAGGGGTTGCTGGTTAAAATCATCCAAGTGTTGTTTCATTTGTGATTAATTATAACAGCCAACTATAAATCCACAATATCATCAAGTTTACCGAAGTCCATTTCAACTTTTATGTGACGGAAGTGTTGACTTTTAGCATCGTCAGTATTTTACAGTGGTACCAATATCTATAGATCTTGAAGACGTATCTCTAGGTGAAGAATGCTATTTAGAACACAACTAGAATGTTGACATGAAAATAGACTGAAGAAAGTAGCCATTTCTAGTTACGAACCCGGTAGTTATGCTTTTGTATTCATGGGCTACTACAAAGCAATAAAGGTCAACCACTCCATCTGAAATAAACAGAACTAGGACAAATTTTAACACTCTAAATTTACCTTCACCCTGAAGGTCCGTGGCCGAAGTTCCTTCCTGATTTCAACCATCTTCCGTTCCTCGGTGTTTAACCTCATTGACATAATATACGGATGCAGCAAGCCAGGAGTGTCATACATCTTAGCCTTTGCAGGCAAAACTCCTGTCATCCTTAATATGCCTAATGTAGTTCCCGGGACTGCGGCTTCCGTCAATCTTGTGATTTTAACACCTTGCTTCTTTGCAAACGCATTGATCAGCGTAGATTTCCCAGCATTCTGCGCGCCGATCACCCACACGTTGCTACGCGGCCCGGCTAGGTCCTTGACGTATGAGATCAAGTTCCTCACCGACAAATCCTTATGAACACTGACCAAGTAGACAGCATCGAGCTTTGGTGCTCCAAAGGCCTTAGCACGGCCTCGCACCCATTTCTCCAGCCTCACCCCCATCTGCTCCCATGGCAGAAGATCCACCTTGGTGCCGACAAGGACGAGCCTCGGCGTCTCGCTCAATTTGGAGTTCCCCCTCCCCTCGAGCGCCCTGAACAACGACTTGGCCGCCCTCTTGGGGAAGGAGCCGTCGAAGTCGGCGCAGTCCACCACCATGACGATGACCGGTGTGCCGGCCGACCGCTTCATCAGGCGCGACGAAATGAACCGGTCGAAGTCGAAGTCCGGGATCAGGTTGTCAGCCCTGTCATTCTTGACGTGCCCGTAGTTCCTCAGCGAGTGGCACCGGGCGCACACCACGGCGGAGTCCTCCCTCGCCTCGGCCTGCTTGGCCTCCCTCGCCCGCCTCTTCCGCTCCGCCTTGGACAGCTTCTCCTTCCTCATCCTCTCCAGGGTCTCCTCCGTGATGCTCCCGTACCCGACCCCCGGCGGCGTGAAGCCGTCCAGCTCTTTGCTCCATTTCTCCTCCTCGTCCTCTTCCATCCCCTCGTCCCAGCCCGAGTCCCAGCCGCTCCCGGCGTCCATGCCGGCCTCCGCCTCTCCGCCACCGTCCTCCTCCTCATCCTCATCTTCTTCGTCTTCTTCTTCTTTGAGGGACTCGAGAAATCCGGTGTCCAGGCCGTCCAGTTCGGCGGCGAGATCGGACTCCGACGGCAAGCCATCGTCGTCCGCATCCTCCTCGTCCCCGACGAACACCTCCGGAGAATCGGATTCTTCTTCTCCCAATTCGTTCTGCGGGGGCCGGCGGGAGGGGCTGGTGAAGAAGCCGGGGAGGTCGGGGTCGTCGTCCTGCATGAACACCCCGCACCCGGGGCACACGGCGCGGCGGGCGTCCTCGTCCCTGCCCTCGCTGATGACCTGCCCCGGGTTCGGCGGCCTGGCGGCGCGCCTGCCGGTGGTGGTGGTGGATACGGCGGCGGCGGCAGCCCGGAGGGGGGAGGAAAGGCCGCGGCTTTGGGGTGGTGGCGAGAGGAAGGAGGGGACGCGGAGGCGGAGGCGGAGAGGCGGGGTTGTGTGGAGGAGGAGGCCGACGGGGAGGCGCGCTGCCGCCGCCGCCGCCGCCGCGGCGGCCGGGGTCGGGAGCGGCATGGGTTTAGCCATTGCGAGCGAGGGGATAACGCCACTGTGTTGCTTATTTATTTATCTTTTCTTTTTCTGAGCAAGACTGCATTGGATATATATAAAAAAAGAGTAAAATTCATCGGTGGTCCCTCAACTTGCGTCGCCCGGTCACTTTGGTCACTGTACGAAAGAACTCATGCAATACGGTCATTGTGTACGGCGAACAGTGAAAATACGGTCACTGTGCGCCGTAGACGCAACGTACGCTGCAATTTTGACCAGTCCACGGGCTCCACGTAGGCGGGCAGAGGATTTACGTTGAAGTGCCCATTTGCGGGAGGGCGTTTTTGTAAAAAAGCCGTTTAGATAGAAATCCCCAATTCTCCCCTCCAAATCCCTAGTTCTCGCCGCCGCCGCGCCCATCCTGCCATCTCGCCGCCGCGCGCCCATCCTGCCCTCGCCCCCGACGACCACTGCGCCATGTCTTCTGCTAGTTCTGCCCGGTCTGGTTTCCGCGGCCGGACAGTGGTGGTGCCACTCATCCCATGTCCTCGCTGC